TTGACTGCTGATGTAGAAGTTGTTATGAAATTTCTAATAGTGCATACATAACATGTTTAGCAGATAAATCAGGCTGTATGAGAAAGGGTCTGTACATTTTAGCTCCTTTCAACCTTTGATGTTCAAAAACACCTTACACAAGATATTTCCTTTTTTTTTTTTAAGTCCAAATGCCTAATACATTTCAGAGCAAACCTCTATTTGCTTTTTTAATTCCATTCAAAATGGTTAATTTAAAGTAAACATAGGCAATCCTTTAATTGACCTTTATTAGAAGTAAGTGCCCTAGTTGTGTCAAATTCACATACATTACAATTTGTGAGGCAAATGCATTTATGCCAGTGCATTGACACTGGTTGACTTACCCTGTATCCATCAACGAATGCAAAAAAACAGGATTTCAAATGTAACATTTCTCAAGTTGTGTTGCTCAACATCATACTGCATTTTTTAATGCCTTTCTTCAAGAGAGACATTTTAAGTATATCAAATGAAATCTTTAAAAATGCATCACTTTGAAAACATATTGTAATGCATTGCTGCCACATGAAATGGTGTGAATAAGCTCTAAGCATAGTGAAGTCCAAGTTGTTAGTAATATTATGCAAAAACAGCATAATGTGTAATTACAACATCAAAAGAGGAAACAAAATTAAATCTTTTAGGATTCACTTCCTCATAGAATGGCATAAAATATAATTCCAAGACTTGTCTACTTCTCTCTTTAAATATTTTTCCTTTTTTTGCAAAACATTCTAAATATATGCACTGAATACTTACCAAGCATTTTATAGTATTAAACGCTAATTTATTGAATACTGCTTCCTTTCAATGGAATGTGCCTTATCACCTGAAAGAATAAAATATAGTTTTCTTGATTAACTGTATAGAATGAACAGATTTTAGAAATGAATAGCTATGTTTAGGCTGTCCAAACAATCACAGTTTTCATTTGTCAAAATACATACAGGTTTAGAACTGCTAAGTACATTTATTCTATTTATTCCTTGCAATAATAAAAGGCTATCAATTCCCTAGACATAAGGCTGGTTCTGGAGGTGTCTGCATAAAGCATAAACATGAACTCTTGGTTAATGTGATCATGTGATTATTCAAATCTTAGATCAATATCTAGGCTAGGGCCTCCAACTGCTGTGGTATTTCTGTTGTTATCTTATGAGAAACTAAACCTTCTATTCTCCTATCCACTGATAATGGTGCCATCTTAACCTCTATTTTTGCAGCTGCCATGGTGCTGCATATGTGTCCAGTTATGACCCCAGTCATTTGAGGGCTGGAGAGATCCAGGGCCATCTTAATAGCATCATGGGCCCCAGGGCAAAGTAATGCACTGCGGCCCCAACAAGTCTGTCCCAATTTACGCACCTATTCTCAAGAATAAAGTATACATAGTTGATAGACTTGAGCACATATTTCTTAGTACTTTCAATAAAATGGATTATAATACAATAAGAAAACATGTCATAGATCAAAAGACTAATCAACACAAATATCCAAACAATATATAAAGTTTTGAAAAACAAAACATTCAGCCTATACGTGATATGTTGTTATACTATACAAATAAAAATGGCAAAAGAGAATTACTATGAATTATTTATTTTTAATAAAGTATTTAGCACAAACTTTTGCAAGTTTTCTTTACAGAAAGTTGTTTTATTAGTCCTTAAAACACATACTACGGTAATTGTCAAAAAAGAAAATTACTATCTTCATTGTTTAACAGAAACTTTGTGAATTTTCTTTACCAAAAATTGTTTCATTATTACTGCAAAATCAATAGTCTTCAATATTTCACTTTCAATACACATCAAGGAAAGCCAGTACAAACGTTCCTGTCCCATTGTGCTGGAAAGCTGATTTTTTTTTCTATCAATGAAAATGAAAATTCTCCTGCACAGTTAGCAACTGTCACGTACCTGATGGGAGACTGAATTGACGAGGTCGGTCTCACTTGTGTCACTAGCCCTGACCCCACTGAGGTTGAAACAGAGGGAGTCTAGGACCCAGGGGAACAAGAGTGCCAGTAGTTGTTGTTTGCAGCTCTTGCAGATGAATACCTTGGAAGGCTGAAGATCCTCTGATTTGGCACAGGAGTAGCAGGCAGAGCAGGTTTGGTAGATTGCCAGATGTGCAGCAGAGCAAGGCAGGTAGTGAGGACAAGAGATAGGAGCAGTGTCATGCAATAGCCAGGGTCATCAACAGTCGGGCAGCGTGGTACAGAATCAGGAGGAAAAGCCAAGGTCAGGAGCAGAGCCAAAGTCAGGAACCAGTATCAGGAGAGCAATCAAAGTCAGGTGAGGAACAAGCCGGTCCAGCAACAGAGGAATCGTACAGGAACTAGCAGGACACGGGGGAGCTGAACACCAGTCAGCACTGAACATGAACACAGACACTCCTTAAATAGGCCATCTGGTGTCAATCTTCGCCGTGCGTGTGTTTGTCAGGAGCCGCCGCGGCGTGTAGCTCGGCGCAGGCGCAGTGTGCCGTTTCACACTGGCGTGCGGGCACTAGGTCCTGGGCGGCCGTGACGACGGCAGAACTCGCGCATGCGCACTTGGGACTGCGGGCGCGTGCCTGGCACCAATGACAGTGCAGGGCGCGGTATTTAAATCCGCTCTGCACTGACACTGGTTGCCGTATGGTCTTATCTGCTTGTTCCTGCTCCTGTTATCTGCTGATTGATTGTTGCCGACCCTGATTGATCCTGACCTTGCTGTCTTCTCCTGCCCTGACCCCTGGCTTGCCTGACCTCTCTTTGGATGCCCCCCATTGGATCTGACCTCCCGTTACTGACCCGGCGAGTGACCCGACTATTCTTTGCCTGCTGCCTTGTACTGCACTGTCCCCACAGTTACTGACCCGGCCTGTCTGACCACGCTTCTGCTCAGCCATCCATCCGTCCTGCACGGACCCATCCGCCTCTTCACGTCAGGCTCTTATCCAGCAGATACCTCTGGCGGATCCCTCTACCACGGGTGGGTGTACTCAGGGGCCGCGACCTGGTCTCTGTCTGCTCCAAGTCCATCCCCACCATCAGGGGCCCTGGTGAACAAGCAGACTGGGACTTAGATTCCGTGCTCTGGGGAATCCTATCCCGTGGGTTGCTAGAGGTACCGCCAGGCGGTACATTACAGTGCGTGATTGCGCATTTCCGAACGCGGTTCGTCTTGCCAGAAATCCCTTACAGTAACCATCATACACAAATATTTCAATATTGGAAAATACAGCTTGCAAGTTGTCTGAAGTTATTTTTTTAATATAGTGCAGACAGTGTCTCACAATTTTCATCATTACTTATGTAGTGCTTTAGAAGGACACATTCAGTGAAAAGATCATTAGGATCAAGATCATGGTGATGTATATTAGCAAGATGTTCACACTTTTTGTTCAGCTCATCAGAATCAATTATTTTCAATTCACCAAAAAAAGTAGAATTGATTTCCAATAAATGGATAAGCTTCTGAATGTTTCATTAATTCACAGATGAAAGAATCCAGAACAGGAAGGAATGTTTCTCCTTAGATTTTTCACTTTCACTGAAATATGTCTCCTCTTCTACCATATCTAGTAAGACATATGATTTCATTTTCCGTAGTTTTTTTTATATACTGTAGCTATCATCTAAATCTGGACACCTACTCCTGGCTTTTGATGCATATTCATTAAATTTATCCTTAATTTTCTGAAGATAGATTTTGAGAGACTCGAAAATATTGATGGCACTCTTTCAAGAATGTCATTCCAAAGAATTACCAGAAAGATAGTTTCTAGGCTCTCCATTTTCTTATATAGTCTGCCTCTCCCCATGCATTTGTTTATTGTTCAGTATCAGCTGATATAGAATCAAGTGCATGTATAATTTTACCAAAACCTACACAAGGAGCATGAACAGCATCAAAATCTGATGGCCATCTTGTTTCAGACAGGTGCTTGACAACCAAATATTTTCCTAAAGATGAAACTAGAATATTTTATTGATGTGTTGAAACAGAGAAAAAGGAATAAAGACGCTGAATGAAGTACAAACAATTCGAAGATTGTAAAGAACTCTCTACTGCTTTCACTCTCACCAAGTTCAGGTTGGAGTGTGTCCAGCACAAAGGACATAAATAATAAACTCATTCAGTTCTCAAATCTGTGCTTGCAACCCAATGTAGCATCCAGCTATTGTCAGGGCTCCAGGGTATGACCAGAGGTATGTGACTGACGCAGGGAAACGCAGGCTTCAGATATGTTATAAACAATACGATTTATTAACACTAACAATACAAACATAAACGCAGTGCAATACTAAAACATAACACAGTGCAAACAAACCAAACCACCCACAGATAACAGTACATACAATGCAAGCGTCGTCAGGCAGGCCGGGTCAATAACAAACGGGCAGGTAGGTACAGGAGGAGCAGACAGAGAGTAGTCAGGTCACGAGCCGGGTACAGCAACTAACAGGCAGGTAGGTACAGGGGACCAGGCAGAGAATGGTCGGGGTCACAAGCCAGGGATCAGAACAGGAGAAGTCAGCAGAGGTCAGGATCAAACAGGGTCAGCAACAAGACAGGAACAGGAACAGGAATGCAGGAACAAGATACAGGGCCCAGGAAAAACACACACCAAGGCAAAGACTGCAGGTCTGGCCATCACTTAAATACACCTGCATAAGCAGTTTCAGGTGTTTGGCTGGCTGCAGGGTTGAGTCTCTGATTGCTGGGAGCACCCGCTGGCCAGCCCTGGTACTGCAGCCCACAAGGCAGGTGAGTCCCACCATTACTGGCAAGTCCATTCCTAACAGCTATGTTAGATGCATTGTCACATGATTGACCATGGCAGTTTAACCAGTCAAAAGAAAACTTAAATAGGTGCTGATATCTTCTCTCAGAGCAATAACAACCATTATTTATCAAACAAACAGCTTTTATTGTACAATTAGTTTCAACGTTTGTGAGATATCACATATTCCCATATACTGGGTATATCAGGGGCGGACTGACCATTCAGAAACTCGGGCTCTGCCTGAGGGCCCGGGTCAGTAAGGGGCCCCATGAGATGCCCCTGATACCTTTCATATGCTTTTTTGGGTGTGGTTTGAGTGTGGACGAGGACACAGGGGCCCCATGATCCCCTATTGCCTGGGGGCCCCATGAGTTGTCAGTCCGCCCCTGGGGTATATGTAATATCCCACACACTTTGAAACTACTTGTACAATAAAAGCTGTTTGTTTTATAAATAATGGTTGTTATTGCTCTGAGAGAAGATATCAGCACCTATAAAATCCCAACTTTTTAAGTTTTCTTTTTACTGGTTGTTCATACTTAGGGATGTGGTGGCTGAGTGTACCAAGCAGACCTATTATTATTTTCATGCTTATGACCATGGCAGATTATTAAGGGAATTTAATTTTCATTAAGAAAGTCTATAACAGTGTTTGCTAGAGCCTTTGCTCCATGAGAAATATTTGTATAAATTTAATTAAACTTTCCACAGGCTCACAGCCTTGAATATACAGAATAGTAAATGTTAGTTGATCCACGTTTGAGACATCTGGCGTAGATTCCACACCTAGTAATACTTTGACTCTTATTTCTTTAAGAATGACACCAAGAACCTGTTGTCCCAGCAAATTAATAAGTTCCTCACAAACATTTGCTGATAAATATGATGGATTCCCCCTTCAACGGTTTCCATAAAGTCTCAAATTCACTCAACACTTCTAGTATACTGAAACGGTTTCCATTTTTTGGTGACCAATAATTTGATTTTCTCCACAAAATGGCAAATCTCTAGCAGCAAGAAAGCTTCATGTGGTAATACTTCAGTACCGTGTTTCCAGTCATTGAATCCTGATGTTGCAAAAGGAGATTCTTTGACACACAATAGGTGACATACAAAGCAGTACAAATGACCTTGAGATGGTGAATATAGTAGCCATTCACTTTTTATACACTTGCTATTCCGCAGTTTTTACTCAAACACATCCTTTGTTAAATTTGTTATATTAATCTCGCTTCCAGCTTTTTTATACATTCAACATGAATTTGTCGCTATTACTATTCTGATATGATGATGGCCCAGTATAATTCACTGCGGTAAGATCCTTAATATTCCATAGTCGTGGATCTGTCTCTTGCGTTGAAAACTCCCTTACCATTATAACCACTTCAAGACCACAATAATTGTGGTTTTGAAGTGGAATAACAGGGTGGTGGCTGCAGCTGGATGCCATAACCCCAGTTTTAAAATTTACAGCAGCTGCTTCTGTTTCTGCTAAAAGTGCTCTGAGTGGCTGATTACCCCCCTTCCTCCACTGCTGCTGAGGATGGCCTCAGCTAATCTCTATGACCTAGGAGGACATCACTTCCAGTTCTGGCCAAATGTAAACAAGGCCATTTTTTTGGGGGGGAAGCATTAGATCAATGGGTTTTTTTTTCTGATCGAATGCTTTCCATTGTAGAGGAGAGATTGATCTCTCCAAAAAGAGGACCTGTCATGATTTGCTATCACAAGGGACTTTTATATTTGTTGCGATAACAATTAAAGTGATCAAAAAATTTTAAAGGGACAGTGTAAAAATAAAAAAAGTCATAACATTTTTTTTTAAAGCTCCCCCATCCTCCCGTGTTCGCGCACAGTGGCGAATGCATACGTAGGTCATATGTAAACATAAGAGGTATCGAACATGAGAGTGAGAGCAATAATTCTAGTTCTAGACCTCCTCTGTAACTCTAAACTGGTAACCTTTTAAAGTGTTGCGCCTATGGAGATTTTAAGGTACCATAGCTTGGCGCCATTCCACGAATAAAGCATGACATGTCAGGTATCTATTTACTCAGCGTAACATCATCTTTTGAATTCTACAAAAGAAATGGGTTATATATTGTGTTTTGTTTTTGAATTTATTAAAGTGTATTTTTTCCAAAAAAATTAAGTTTGAAAAACTGCTGTGCAAATGTGTGCTATAAAAAGTTGCAACAATCTCCATTTTATTCTCTAGGATCTCTAAAAAAAAATGTCAACAAAAAGTGCCAGAAAAAGCCTGGTCCTTAAAGTGGAGTTTCAGGAAAGTAAAAAAAAAATATAAAAAAGTCAGCAGCTACAAAAAAAACTGTAGCTGCTGACTTTTAAAAAATGAACACTTACCTGTCCCTCGATCCTGCGGTGTCCCCCCCCCACAACTAGTTTCACCAGTCGTCCCTGTGTTTCTGGCATCTGCATCCTCAGTGTGGGCTCCCGGCTGTGACAGCTTGTGGCTTCACAGCCGGGCGCTCACTGCGCATGCGCGAGTAGTGCTGCACTTTGTGAATGGTCCCGTAGTCTTCTGAAACCTGTCATGTGTCCCAGAAGACTACGGGGATAGAGGGGGGGGGAGGACAACTTCCACTTTTCGTAACACAGATATAGTATACCTTATATTAAAACAATGAAAACTAAGAGAAAATACTGCCCTGTTAAGAAGTGCTTGTAGAAAAACCTCTGGAGCACAACATCTTTCTTCTTCAATAAACTATGTAAAACAGATGGAGGGAGGCATGTCATAAATGAATGAGGGAATGAGGTCATATATGAGTATGCTTCCCTCTTTAATAAATTTTTGGAAAACTATGCTTCCAATATTTTTGGAAAACTACTTTCTGGGACTTAAGAGATGGGGGGGGGGCTGCTTTTCAAAGAATTTGGGGCATATCGAGATAGCTTCATCCTAGACAAGATAACGTAAAATGGCCACACCGAAAAAATAAGCTGGCTACTCCGCTAGTCACTCCTGAAACCAATAATCCATGACCACAATTGTCCTTCGCAAGGAAAGGTCATTAAGGGAATGAAAATAGGTCCAAAAAGAACACATCAGGGGACAGCAGCAACCTCCCACAGTGAGACAATCTCCTTTCAGTGCCATTAACCATTCAAGAGCAATCACTTCTCCAACACCTGAGAAGGATTGAATGATACAGGAAGAGAGGTTTTATTAGGAACATATATGCCTATGGCTGCTGTTAGAAACCACAGGGCCCCCAGACAGGGTGCCCCTCCCCCCAAAAATTAATAAAACAATATTTTTGTTAAAAATACACTAGAATCATTATTAATGGACACAAACACAACAAATGTACACAAGAGAAGAGAGAGTGTTAAAGATCTTAAGGGAGACTATGGATGACTTTGAGATAAATCATCTGACAGCTCCTACTCAACTGCCAGATACATAGGAAAAGTTAAAATGTGTCCTACAGGGGAAACTAATTTAAATAGGATCAAAATTTAAGAAAGATAGAAAAAATAACAAAATATCTATGTTATTAAAGGATAATTTTGAGCTTGAACAATGTCTTAAGACAAACATCGATGGTGTAGTAGTATATCACATATCAATCCAGAAAAGAGCACAATTATATTCCATTTTGGACACATCTTTTATACGCCACCGAGAACGAGTAAAGCTAAATCTTTATGAATTTGATAATAAGTCGAGTACGATGTTAGCTAATTCGATGTGTAAAAAGCAGTTCTGTTCATATATGAAAAAAATAGTATGCCCATCCCAAGGGACAGTATTTACATAGGAAAAAATCGCTAGAGCATTTCAGGAATATTTTACCAAGTTATATAACAAAGTCTGTAGTCTCTAAGAATTTACCCAACTGTTCCCTAGAAAAAATAAAAGAATATATTGGAATGACAGCGCTACCAACAATATCAGAGGAAGCTGCAGAGTTATTAGCAACCCCATTTGGGCTAGCTGAAGTAAAGGAAACTATTTAAAAATTGCCTTTAGGAAAAAGCACCAGCCCAGATGGATTCACATGGCTTTTTATAAGACATTGATAGATCAGCTCTCCCCAGTTCTGTTACGTACCCACAATGCAGTCTCAGATTCATGTCTATTCACTAGAAAATCTCAGGAAGCCCACATAACGATAATACCCCAAAAAAGAAAAGATCCCTTTCTGTGAGAGAGCTATCGCCCAATTTCAATCTAGCCGATGCCATTACAAAGAATTCCTCAATAGCTAATATGGCATGTAAAATGTGTCTCTTTGATGATGATCTACTGTTATTTGTTTCTAACCCTCGCATTGCCCTTCCAGTACTGTTAAAATAATTTACTGCCTTTTCTGTGGTTAGGAAGGTAATATAAATAAATAAAACAGAGACATTGAATGTATCTTTAGAGGAAGGAGAGGGAAGCACTCTAAAGAAAGACTTTACATTCCACTGGCATGAAAAAGCCTTGACATATTAGGTATTTATTTGGCTACGACACTGGAGGATTTGTACATGTTAAATTACCAGCCACTAATTACCAAAATGCAACAGAAATAAAAAACATTGGGCAAAAATGCAGCATTCATGGTTTGGTAGAGTGGCCTTGTTTTAAACTAGATATTATTCCCAGATTCTTGTATATATTTCAGACTCTACCAATAAGTCTCCCTGTAAAATGCTTTTGAATAATACGTTTTGCATTTTTGAAAAACATTTGGGCTAGTTCTAAACCAAGATCAAAATATGATGTACTTGTAAGGAAGAAACAATAGGGAGGACTGTGACTACCTGATTTAGGTGTCTATTTATGAAAGCGAGAAAAGCCGAGATCCTGATGATCACAGCTGATCTCTCAGGTGTACCAGCTTATGAAGGTGAGGTGAGGAGCGGAGAACATTTTCTTCACTTCTCAACACAGGACCCACCCTTCTGTCATTCACTTTTACAGAGATGGCCAGTTTATGAAGGTGAGAGCTGAAGGTCTCACTGGTCATCTCTGTAAAATAAAACAAGGAAAATGTGTTGTGCTGCTGTGAAATACCAAAGAAACTATAACCTATAATCCATTGTGTGCATAATACGTGTAACCACATCCAATAGCACAGTCTCTCATATAGGCTCTGCAAACGGGTATAAATCTACAGGATCTTGAAATTGATCCTCCTGCTGGTGTTTGTAATTTTCTTCCTGGTGCTCTTAGCAATCCCTGCAAAAAGTGCACCACCCAAAAAGTGTGTCTGAAATGGACTCTCACCTTCATACCCAGACCTATTTAATTATAAACAGGTCAGAAGCGCTTCCTCCCCATCTGTGAAAGATGAGTATGGGCATCTCTGTGGGTCATAGGACTCTCACTCTTCCACTGCACACTGGTGTAAGAATGCTCCTGTAACCGATGGGCTGTCGGGTGGAACTCACAAAACAAAGTAACCCGCCAAAGTGTAGTGTGTAAAATATCAAGTAATTTTATTAAAATTGCATGTACATTCAATAAGATGAAATGCTGCTATAAAATACTGATAAAATCTCTGACCTCGGACAAGACCTGTGATGACTGCAACCCGTCAGCTCTCTTGTCACCCAAGTTCCTCCCCATGCCTATCATCACCGATCACGTGACTTCCTCAGGGGTAACCTAGGTGACATGCACTAGTCCTTACATAGATTCTGCTCTCTCCGTATCATCGTCAGTGACTGAGATCACTTCCATGGAGACAAGATACTTAACACATCGGAGTGTTACTGCTACCTAGTGGACAGATGGAAAAATGCTCAAAAACACTCCTCTAAAACCAGCGAATCGAGATTAAAGGATTATGTAAGGACACCAATAAATATTCCAAGAATGTATAGTGCTCGAAACCTCTAACTAGAATATTAAAACAGGCACTCCTAAAGGGGAAACACCAATAAGGGCATACATAACTGTCATGTACCTTGGTTGAAGGCCGAGTTGACAAGAGGGCTGCCCTTGCGGCTCTGGTCTCAGCGCCCCTGAATGTGGTGACACAGGTACAAGGCTCAAAAAACACAGGTACTGATAGCAGATGATTGCCACAGCCAGGAGTGTAGTCAAGGTGAGCCAGGGTCATACACAGTGAGACAGCAGCGTGGTCAGGAGGCAGACCGGGGTCAGTACCAGGTTAGCAAGCAGAGCGAGGTCCAGTAGCTAGCCGGGGTCAGCACCAGCAGATCAAGCAGAGAATAGTCAGCGGTAAGTGGAGGTCAGCATCAGCAAATCAGGCAGAGAGTAGTCTAAGGCAAGCCAAGGTCAGAATCCAGAATCCACAGAGCAAGGTCAGGAGCAAGCTAGGTCAGCAACAGAAGATCAGTCAGTACAAGCAGGAACATGGGTCACAGGAAGCTGAAGAACATCCAGCGATTAGTACACAGCTGAGTCTCCTTTAACTAGCTGCCGACCACAGATAGCTGAATGACGGCTGCACTGCGGCCGGCCAGTTCTGGGTGGACGTCATATTACGTCCTCTCAGAACGCGCTCTCCTGCGCGCCCCAGGGACACAGCTGATCACGTGATGTGGTAAAAGGCCAATCACAGCGGCCTTTTACCATGTGATCAGCGGTGTCCAATGACACGCTGATCAGAGGGAAATGCAAGTGCCGGTTCTCGGCTGCACTTTCCTCACGCTGTCAGATCGTGAGGAAAGTACTGCCGAGAACCGGCAGTTGTCAGAGCGGGGATCGGCACCGATCATCAGGGCACTGATGATCAGTGCCCTGATGATCGGTGCCCAAAAGTGCCACCCGCAAGTTCCGCCCACCTGTGCCCAGCGGTGCACCCACCTGTGCCCAGCAGTGCACCCACCTGTGCCACTCTGCAGTGCCACCTACCTGTGCCCAGAAGTGCCATCTACCTGTGCCCAGCAGTGCCACCCACCTGTGCCCACCCACCTGTGCCCACCAGTGCCACCCACCTGTGCCCACCCACCAGTGCTGCCCACCAGTGCCACCCACTAGTGCAGCCCAGCAGTACTGCCAGTCAGTGCCACCAGCCAGTGCCCAGCAGTGATGCCAGTCAGTGCCGTCTATCAGTACCCATAATCAGTGTCACCTATCAGTGCCGCCTATCAGTGCTGCATATTAGTGCCGCCTATCCGTGACACCTCATTAGTGCTGTCTATCAGTGCCGCCTATCCGTGCCACCTCATTAGTACTGCCTATCAGTGCCCTTTAGTGCTGCCTATCAGTGCCCATCAGTGCCGCCTATCAGTGCCCATCAGTGCTGTCTCATCAACGCACATCAGTGAAGGAGAAAAAATACCTGTTTGAAAAATTTTATAAAAGAAACAAAGAAACTTTTTTTTTTTTTTCAAATTTGTTGCAATTTTTTTATTTATAGCGCAAAAAGTAAAGCGCCCAGTGGCGATTAAATACCACCAAAAGAAAGCTCTATTTGTGAGAAGAAAATGATCAAAATTTCATATGGGTACAATGTTGCATGACCGCGCAATTGTCAATCAAAGTGCGGCAGCGCTGAAAGCTGAAAATTGGCCTGGTAAATAAGGGGGTATAAGTGCCTGGTAGGCAAGTGGTTAAATAAGCAGCTTGACGCCAATGTGGGAAGAGTACCTACGTGTCAGTACATGCTGGATATTAGCTTGGGCTTGTCTGTGTGCTGGTACACGTGAATAAGCATTAGCTGCACAGGAATGAGCATTAGCTGTATAAAGATAAATACATGCAAAGAGTCCATAATAAAATCTAAAAACAAAACCTAAAAACAAAAACGCCCAGAAATTCCAAGTAGGTGGAAGAGGAAAAAGGTGTGGAAGGGAATCACAAAAAAAAAACAAATACATAAAGTAAAATTAGTATATGAGATGTGGTGTCTAGGATAGCCAGAAAGAAAATATATCACCTATAGACAAAACTATATCACCTGTAGAAAAAATATATGTATATATACCTAGCACCCCATAAACCGTTTGTATACTGGCAAATTAGTGCTAATAAAGCAATTTATAACAAAATCAACATAAAGGCTTTTATGTGCTAAAGTCTGAAGTGAGTAAATCCATCTGGACTCCCACTAATTGAGAGTCCTAACTTTATGACTACCCTTTCCAATGTTTTTTAAATGCCTGTATGCCCCAAAACTTCAGCATAGATGGATCTTTATTATGATGTGTCACAAAATGTTTAGACAATTGGTGTTTTGTAGAGCCTTTACTAATATTTTGGATATGTTCCTGTATTCTCTTCTTTTAAAATGGGCCAATATTTTTAATTATGTTTTCTACTTTTTTATATTGTGCATTATAATTCAGCAGGCAGTTGCATATCCTTAGTCTCTCTTAACTTTTTGTCCTCTATCAGCTTTTCTCTTTGTATTCGTCCAACAGCTTCTATTTTGGCTTCTATAAAGGTTCATTATAGCCCTTCTCAATAAATCTTTTCCCTAAAATTTGGGCTTGTTCTTTGTAACATTCCTTGGTTGTACAATTTCTTCTTAATCTGACCAACTGCCCTCTAGGTATATTAATGAACCATGGATTAAAATGACAGCTATGAGTTGGAATGTAGCTGTTTCTATCAACATCTTTAAAATATGTCCTAGTGTATAACCTTCGGTCTTTCATGTAGATCTCCAAATCAAGGTAATTACATTTTTTTTTCTCCATTATCCAAGTAAATTTTATACTTTTCTTATTATTATTCAAATTGGTTAAGACATTTTTTAATTTCTGCTCATCACCCTGCCATAGTATTGCATCTATCGTCTGTATAATATTAGTTCTTTAGGTCTGTTTTTGTAGATAGCATCTTCCTCCCATTGGGCCATAAATAAATTAGTGACACTAGGTGCGACCTTGGCTCCCATGGCTTATAGTTATTTACTACACAGAATTAGAAACATTCCAACAGATATTTCTTTTATAAAAAAGACATTTTAGATGCTTGATGGTAATGCCCATTTCATGGATTCCAGTGCCTCTTGATGATTGTGTAGAGGGATGCAACCTCTGCTGAAGCCATAATTAAATTCTTTGTGTTCTGTTCTACTTCAAGTATTTGTAGTAGATGTTTGGTGTCCCTTATATAGGCCTTATGCAGGCCATAGATGGGTCGAAAATCGGCCGATTTTTCTTTTAAAAAAACGAAATTCGGTCGTTCAAGCGGCCGACGTTACCAGCAACGGTAAAAAAAAATTGGCCGATTTTCATCCCATCCACAGCCGGCAAAAAGTGTCCCTGCAGAGAGCTCCGCTATTTCTTTGACAGTTCCTTGACATTTATAGCGGTTGCAACAATATATTTGTATCCATTTAGGATACAGATGTTTTTATTTGGAAACAAATAGATACATTGTTGTAACCGCTGTAAATGTCAAGGAACTGTCAAAGAAATAGCGGACATTTTTTGCCGGACTGGAATTCCTCTTCTTCTTCATCCTCTTCTTCTTCTTCTTCCTCTTCTTCATCCTCTTCTTCTTCCTCTTCTTCTTCATCCTCTTCTTCATCATCCTCTTCTTCTTCCTCTTCTTCATCCTCTTCTTCTTCCTATTCTTCTTCTTCCTCCTCTTCTTCTACTTCATCCTCTTCTTCTTCCTCTTCTTCTTCTTCATCCTCTTCTTCATCCTCTTCTTCCTCTTCTTCTTCTTCATCCTCTTCTTCTTCCTCTTCCTCTTCTTCTTCTTCATCCTCTTCTTCTTCCTCTTCTTCTTCTTCATCCTCTTCTTCTTCCTCCTCTTCTTCTTCTTCCTCTTCTTCTTCGTCCTTCTTCTTCTTCATCCTCTTCTTCTTTTTTCTACTTCTTTTTGTCTTCCTCTTGCAGGTCACTGCTCATGTGCAGATTTTTTTATCGGTAAAAAGATCGGCCGATTTGCCCATCATTGCCGCAAAAATCGGCCGATCGGCAAAATCGGCCGATTTTTTTCCAACTTTACCGATAAAAAAAAATCTGCCAAAATACCAAAAAATGGCCAAACAATTAGCCCACTAACGATCCGAAAATCGGCCGATTTTATTTTCGGCCGAAAAATCGGCTGATTTTCAACCCATCTATGGCCTGCATTAGTCTGTTGACTACTGGCTGTAAAAAACAATCAATGTACTCCCCCATTCCAGCTGTGACTGACTCAATTCCATTAACTATTGGTCGGCCAGGTGGGTTAATCTTGTCTTTATAAATTTTAGGAACACTATATATTATAGGGACTTGACATGTTTCAGGAATCAGGTACTTCGCTTCCTTCTCATTTAAAATCTTTTTCCTGATTCCCTTTTTGACCAATATTTTCAGGTTTCTTTTGTATTCCATGTGGGGTTATTTCTCAGTTTAATATATGTATATGTGTCCTCATCATTCAGAAGTCTTGCCTCTCGGAACTTTTTCTTAGATAACACCACAATAGCCCCCCCGTCTGCCGGAAGGATTATTATATCTGTTCTGTCTTTGAGGCTTCTTATAGCATTTTTTATCTCTCTTTTCTTAATAGGTAATTTATCTAAATCATCAGTCACCATTTTAAGAAATACCTCAATGTATTTGTTATCATTGATATGGGGGTTAAACAGTGATTTGTTTTTATGTGTGCTATGTTGGTAGGAATTATGTAATCTACTTGTCTCTATTCCTTTTCCTTGGGGGTTGGATAACATATATTTCTTAATGTTAAGACTTCTGGCATATTTTGTATTCCTATGAATGTCTAAAATTTGTTCAAGTTTTTTGGGGAGCATATTTTAGATCCTGATCCAATACTTTAATTTCATCCTTGGATAGAGGCACACCACTTAGATTGAATACTCCTTTACCTAATATTCTCTTTTTCTTTTGTTGTTGTGTGTTGGTCCGGCATCCCCTCTTCTTTCAAGGCTTCTTCTGTCCCAGCCTGATTGGCCTTCTCTCCGGGGGGGGGGGGGGGGGGGGGGGTAATGGCTCTGCCTCTGTATAAAAAAGGTCTAAGTGCATCCTGGCCTCGCCCTTCATGGTTATAGTGGGGAGATCTTTCTCTTCTATAATCTTCCCCTAATGGTTCAAATCTATTGCATTAGGGACTGGGCTCTTTTCAGTTCTCTGATGTTGGTAATTGCTAGGTCTCCAATTTTATCCATGGTTTCCATTCTTCCTTCTACTTCCTCTATTTTTTGTGGTTTCCTTCCACACCTTTTTTTTCTCTTCCAAATACTTGGAATTTCTGTGCGTTTTTGTCTTTAGATTTTGTTTTTAGATTGTATTATGGACTTCTTGTATGTATTTATCTTTATGTTATATATGCCCTTATTGGTGTTTCCCCTTTAGGAGTGCCCGTTTTAATATTCTGGTTAGAGGTTTCGAGCACTATACATTCTTAGAATATTTATTGGTGTCCTTTCAGAGGAGTGCTCCTTTAATCTGGATTTGCCGGTTTTAGAGGAGTGTTTTTGAGCATCTTTCCATCTGTCAACTAGGTAGCATTAACACTCCAATCTGTTAGGTATCTTGTCTCCATGGGATTGATCTCAGTCACTGACGATGATACGGAGAGAGCAGGATCTATATAAGGACTAGCGCATGTCACCTAGGTTACCCCTGAGGAAGTCACGTGATCGGTGATGATACGCGTGGGAGAAACTTGGGTGACAGGAAAGCCGACGGGTTGCATTCATCACAGGTCTTGTCCGAGGTCAGGGATTTCATCAGTATTTTATAGCGGCATTTCATCTTGTTGAATGTACATGCAATTTTAATAAAACTAGTTGGTATTTTACACACTACACTATGGCAGGTTCCTTTGTTTTGAGAGTTCCACATGACAGCCCATCTGTTACAGGAGCATTCTTACACCAGTTGCAGTGGAAGAGAGAGAGTCCTATAACCCACAGAGACGCCCATACTCATACCTCACAGATGGGGAGGAAGCGCTTCTGACCTGTTTTTAATTAAATAAGTCTGGGTATGAAGGTGAGAGTCCATTTCAGACACACTTTTTGGGTGGTCAGGGATTGCTCACAGCACCAGGGAGAAGGGTACAAACACCAGCAGGAGGATCAATTTCAAGAGTCTGTACAGATTTATACCCGTTTGCATGGGATATATGAGAGATTGTGCTATTGGATGTGGTTACATGTATTATGCACATAATGGTTATAGTTTCTTTAGTATTTCACAGCAGCACAACACAGTTTCCTTGTTTTATTTTTATAAATTTGTGTTTAACATCTACAACTAGTGATTGCAACAGCTGTGCTTAACACCGATGTATATTTATTCACTTGTTTGGGTTTGGCAGCGCACAATTATTATCACTTTGTTATACA